CTGGTCCCACACTGTGTCACGGCCCAGCTGCCAGCCCGGGCCAGGGGCAGATGGAGCAGGTGGGGAGGTGGTGACGCTGCGGACCGGCGCCCGGGTGGGAACACGGAGCTGCACCCCTGCCCGCCCACTCAGCTGCGGCGGGCTGAGAGCGGGCCAGAGCCCGGCGTTGCCAGGGAAACCGAGCGGCAGACACAGGCCCTGCCCAGCAGAAATTCCTCTATTTTTAGCCTCCCAGCTACTTTCAGATAAAGCCCGTGTAGACGGACAAGCTGTCGGGCAAGATAACAGCCCGCTCCAGACCACAGAGATTTCACAGGGTGGGCCTGAGCCTGAGAAAGGCCCTCCCACTCCCCAGAGCCTCCCTCGGCCCCCAGGGCACCCCGGGAAGAGGCCCCCCGGGCTGAGAGGCCCGCAAGGCTGCTGGGGGAGTGGGGGCATCCTGGGGGGCCGAGCGCCCTGTGCCTGGGGCAGCGGGAGCATGGGTTTTGTGGCACAGAATTGGAATCCCGGGCCCGGGGTCCCACCTGGCCGCCCAGCAGGGCCTTGGCCGGCCCGGCCACCGTCTCCATCAGAACCCTACAGCCGCGGGTCCTCGAGCACGCGACCCTTCCTCCCTGCCCACGCACGATGATGCACCTGCGAGCCACGGTCAGCACCTCTGACGTTCCCCCAGACGGCACTGCCCACCCCCCGCGCGCACCGGGAGGGGCCCGTGGGCACCGGCTGCCGCTGGTCAGTAAAGAAGCCCCTTGCCAGAGGTCTACAAACCAGGCGCCAGGGGACCGACGCCCAGCTTCATCCAGGGGTGTGGATGTGAGCCAGATCTCGGGGAGCTCCCGGGGCCGTGCGAACCGCACTGAGCACAGGAGGAGGGGGCAGGGAGGCCCGCAGGCCCCTAGCACCCCCGGAATCCCGCACGGCAGCTCAGGACGGATGTGGGAGAGCGAACGGCCACCGCGGGTGCCAGCCCCTGGGACGGTGACCGGCGGAGCCAGTGGGGGGCCGGGCCCCTCGCGCCTACCTTGTCTTCTACCCGGTTGAGGCGGGCCCCAATGGTGTTGCTGCCCCGGTCCTTGCTCTTTTCTGTGGGGTAGAGCACCAGAATCAGGGACGCGTGTTGGCACCGGGGCAGGGCCTCAGAGAGTAGGGTGACGGGGGTGGGGGGCTCACCTGGGAAGACATCTCTGCAAGCTCTTCCCTGGTGGGAGCTCCAGACGTGGGCTGGGCAGGGAGCCCCGTGGCCCACTGCCTCTTCAGGTCTGTGACCACCCAGGCACCCCCACAACTCAGTCATTCTTGCACTATTTCAAACTTTTTTTTATTATTCTTACATTTGTTTTGGTTTTGGTGATCTGTCATCAGTGACGGGACTCGCTGAGAGCCCAGGTGACGGTTTGCACTTCTGAGCAACAAAGTTCTTTTTAATTAAGGCATGCACGTTAGTTTTGCAGACATATGCCGTCGCACACAGTAGACTACAATACGGTGTAAACGTAACTTTTACGTGCACTGCGAAACCCTAAAATCCTTTGGCTCACTTTATTGCGATATTTGCTTTATCGCGGTGGTCTGGGAA